CCCCCCCCCCACCTAGTATCAACATGGTATAAAGTATCAGCATCGAGTTTGAAATTGCAGCATCGCTAACCACCTGTAAAATATCAATATTAACTACTTATATTAAATGAACTCACCCGTCTCCAATGACAACACACTTAATGGATTGCATTGTGCTGTAGCAGCTGGAGAAATGCGGTTAGCCCGGGAGCCAGCCAACAACAGCTCATTCTCATCATGCTGCCTTGCTTTAACCTTTAAAGTTGGATGCTGGTGCTGCGCTGGGAATGTCATCCGCGTTCCAGTGCTCGGAAAACAGGTTTTTTTTTGCACCATGGCGAGGTGGAAGCCTCCGCCTATCAGAAGCAACAACAAAGCAAAGCATGTTTTTCGTTGTTGTTGCTGTTGTAACATATTCCTGGATAGAGCCCGCTCGATCATAAGTACACATCAGGTGGTACTAGAGACTTCAAGTATTACAGTTTTGTTATATACTGTTTGCACGCACTGTTGTCACCTCGAGTCACAAGTCGGGGTTGGTGGGTCTTCTCCCACTTTCTTCTTTCGGCTGTTTCCTTTAAAGGTCTCCATCTGCCCCTACACCTTGCATCCTCTCCTGTCACCCCAACCGTCTGCATGTCCTGCATCGCTACATCTACGGATCTTCTCTGTGGTCTTCCTCTTTTCCTCCTGCCAGACAGCTCCATATTCAGCATCCTTTGACTTCTCGGACTTTCCAAGTGGAAAATCCGAATTTAAGGAGAATTCCAGTTGAAATTCCCATTTGGAGGAGTTCCAGATAACGTCATAACTTTTAAAGCGAGTTTACTCATAAATTTCTTGGATATATTCCCATATTTTCATGGGCTGCTCCGGAAGTAGCAGCAGCAACCGCTTCTGAGGTTTAAAAAATTTGCCGCGCTTGTACTGTTTTTGTTTCAACTGTGTAACAGTGTTATTATTCCTTATTCCTCCGATAAGTCAAGTCTCTTAATGAACCTTTCGGGCTTTCGTTCTCAACCGTGATGTAGTTATTTTTAATTTTAACTTTATGTAATGAAGAACATGAAGGAAAAGTGCACCTAAAAGATTAACTCCACACTTAAAGTCATATGCTCATACAAGATTTTATTGGCTTTTTTTTTTTTAAAGTGAGGTAATTGAAAAAGGATATTCCTGGTGTCAGATGAGCAAAGTGAGTGAGTCTAACTTGTAAACAGGTTATGGCACATGAAAAGTGGAGGCAACAAAACTTCACAAATGGTTACTTCAAGCTTTTTGTTGACAGCAAGGTGACACAACTGCCTTCATAAAGAGAAACTGAAGTTTGTTAGGTGCTAAATATGGTGGAGCTGAATGAACAGCAGGAAACAGCAGCAGACAGTCAGCTGTGTTTTAAACCTTTGAGATGACAGAGCAAAGGTTTTGAAGTTTTTTACTTGTAAAAGCTTGAGATACACACACACACACACACATAGTCAAAACTTTCACGTTTTTTCAGAAGAATACAAACGATTCTTTGGTCAGTTCCAACTTAAAAAAGTATGTACCTTTATTAAATAAAATCTCAACAAACTACATTGTATCATATACTTTATATATTTGTATATAAACCATTTTAAATTGTTGGGAAACAATCTAACAACTGAATAGACAAAACCCCACTCTGTATATATCCTCAGTACAAATCTGGAAAATTACATAAAAGTATATAAGACTGACATTCACCCAGCTTTGGTTTGCTTGTCTTTTAAGGCAATAAATAAACGAATAAATACATGTTAAAAAATAAAAAGACAGGCTCAAGAAGTGCAGTATTCTCAGTGAAATGGGCAGTGAGGCTCACATATAGATGCTTTGTTAGACTTTAAATAGACAAAATATCTGTTGAATGTCTGTTGGGGATGAGGAAAAGTTATTTTGCAATAATTACATTTATCATTTTGTAACCCTGCCCTACTTCCACTTAAAACAAACAAAGCAACTGACTGTAAGCACACACACACAAACAGTGGGGGGGGGAAAAAGCTGAAGGCAGTCTGTGGTGTGTCTTACAAAACATCCAATACATATTAGAAGGCCTCAAGAAATTCATGGTCTCCTCTATACAGTATTGTTAGGACAGAATTAGGGTCTAAAATAGTCCAACCTCTTCTCGTAAACTTGACCCTGCGTTGGTATAACTGAGGTTTTGTGTGTGTATACTGGTGTGTTTCTCCCTCAACACTAGCAGTCATGTTCCCCTGTAACTGTTCCAGTGAAGGAAGTCTTAGAGGAGAGAGCATCTCTTCCCCTTCTTTTTGACAGGTGGAGGGCACAGGACGGCCCGGATGGCCTCATCGAACAAAGTTTTAAGACCACGCTGAGTCAGGGCTGAACACTCCAGGTACTTGACAGAACCTGAAGACAGGAAATGGAAACCCACAAGTTTATTATTGGAATCTGTCATCTTCCATTAATTACATTTAATCGTTAAATTATCAGAGATAACTGAATCATTACCAATCTCTTTGGCCATGGCCAGTCCTTGAAGATAGGAAATTGGGGAGAGTTTCTTTCCCTTTAGCACCTCCAGGGTTTCCTTCTCAGCCCTCAGATCCAGTTTAGTGCCCACGAGGATTATGGGAGTGGTGGGACAATGATTTCTCACCTCTGGGTGCCACTGCACAGACACAGGGGTGTCCTTTTTCAAAACTGTTATCTTAAGCACATTATTTTATAATCACTTCAAGTGATTACTGTTTGCAATGCCAGTCTACTGTCTTGTTTTTGGATGAATTTATTATTTTGGACCTTTCTGCATGTTCTCCTTGTGCTTATGAGGCTTTCCCCCCACCATTCAAAGACACTGGTGATTCTAATTAGACTCTTGGTGTGGATTTGAATGGTTGCCTCCAAGTTAGATAAAGTTCCTTCCATATATTTTCTGTCACTTGTCCAGACCTCCCACCCCAAAGCCACCTCCTCAGGCTTATCTGTGGGGAACACCTAGGCATTTCCAAGCCAGCCAAGAAATGCAATCTCTTCAGTGTGTCCTGGATCTACTCCAAGGCAGTACATCCCTGGAAGACTTTGTCCACAAGGCACCCTGGAGGCATCTTAGTCAGATTGCCTTAACTACCTCAGTTGACTCCTTTTGATGTAGAGGAGTGGCAGCTTTACTCTGAGTCACTCCCAAACGACTAAACTCTGCACACTATCTCTAAGGGTGAGGCTAGCCTTCAAAGAAAGCTCATTTCTGCTGCTAAAATCTGCAATCTCATTCTTTCAGTCACTACGCAAGCTTGTGACGATAGGTGAAGGCAGGGACACAGAATAGTAAATCAGCAGCTTCGCTTTCATGCTCAGCTCTCTTCACTACAACAGACAGGTACAGTGTTCATATCTGCAGACACTTCACCCATTATGAGACATTTCCAAAATTTCCACTCTTTAACATGTCACGATCCTTCAGGCAATATAACTGTATTTTTCTATTATTGATCAGGTTTCCATCTACAGAACAGGCATAAAATGAGTAAACATCATGGTACTGACACTGAGAGCTGGACTAGTAAAATCTAAACAAGCTAACCCCATCAAAAAGTCTTTCCATAATACAGCCACTACTCACCTTATGACGGACGTTTTCATACGAGGTACAACACACAAGCGAAAAGCAGATAAGAAAAATGTCCTGGTAAGACAAAGAAACAAAGCAGTCAGAACCTAATCTCTTTGTATTTTGCAACAAAATTGGTGCAGCAATTTATTTAAATGTGCATGCATAAACTTGTGGAGTTTACATACTCTGATTATGAACATGACTGTCATGGTAATTTGGGGCTTTTAGTATTTCTTGGAACTGTTATTTTCCAAAGTGGAATGACTGTACAGCATACGTCTTTGGATACTGGCTGTCTTTTCTTATATTCCCCATCAAGGGGATCCCACACTGCTTTAATAATGTTCTGTCAGGAAAGGTTTCTTGACAACCGCCCTTTAACTGAGGTAATTTCTGATGACGCTTTGGTGAATGGCCGATGGATCATCCCTTGAGTTAGGTGCCTTTTTTTATTCCTGAATGATTCACGCGTCAGTGTTAAATGGCTTAAGATATAGCCAAACCAAAAAAAAGAAACATTTCTCTAAAGAAATGAGGCAAGGCTCAAGTACTGTAAGTGAACTTTAACACAGCATTGTGATCTTTTTTTGCATGTGATCTTTTTTTTGTACCGTCTGTGAGTAAGAAAGTGGGCGAAGTTTGTCATAGTCTGCTTGTCCTGCTGTATCCCAGAGAGCCAGGGTCACTGGGTTCCCATCCACCATAACATTGGAAGAGTAGTGGTCGAACCTGACAGAAGTGATGAAGTGTGAATGAGCTAAACTTAGTTTAATATAAACTGTTAAAACATTGCCTCTACTAAAATTTAAAAAACAAAAAAACAAAAGAGACAGAACCTAAATGGAAATCAACCTTTCCTCTTATTTATTGTGCCCTTTAGTGGCTTCTGCTCTCTCTAAAGAAATATTCACTCATTTTTTAAATCTAACTGAACCAAAAGCCTGTGTATCATCCCACAGTTACAGTAATGAGGATCAGCACTTTCCACAGCTGAAACAGAATCAGATTAGGTGGAGTTTCCTCATAACTTTCTGTAACACATATTTTTCTTGGCTAGTTACACTCTCGACCTGTCCAGGATGTACCCCACCTCTTGACCTATGACAGCTGGGATTGGCTCCAGCCCTGATAAGGATAAACAGAAGTGGATGGATGGATGGATAGTTAGAGTGAACTGCTGTGATTGTAGCCTCTTCCACAAGCCAAGCTTTCACATTACATGATTCTGCAACATGATCCCAGCTTGATCATGAAGTGAAGAAGATGGAGACTGATTACTGACTGCTAGTCTTGCATAAATAAATAAATGTTCACTGCACTGCACATTTGGATACTCACACCGAAGGGATTTCCTCTCCCGGAAAGGCATTGGTGGTGTAGCTGGTGAGCAGACAGGTCTTACCCACTCCTCTGTAAGGGAGAAGAGGCTGGATTAGCATTTATTGGGGAAAGGAAAAAAAAAACAATTGTAGGTATGAACTGAGGAGACTGCACCTTTTGCGTGACTGGGGTCAGGTCAGTACCAGTTGTGCTACTTTTCCAAATCCCTGATCGATCTAATCATTTGGAATGTACAATACCTTGAAACAGTATTTGTACACCCTGAACTTTTCCACAATTTGCCACGTTACAATGACAAA